CCTCTCCTCCCAAAAGAAGCAGGAAGCGAAAGAGAGGGGCCCAACGTCGACGCGGACGATCGACGACGCTGTTGGCTCCGCGGGCCTGGCTGTCGTGGCGCCAGGTGAGCCGGCCCCGGTACGCGACGCACCACCAGATGTGCCCCGCCGCGTTCTGGAAGTACCTAGGGCGGAGGCGGAAAGGAGATCTCTAGGGCGGAGGCGGGAGGGAGGCCTGAGAGGAGGAGGGGCACGGAGGATGGAGGAGGAGCGCCGAGGATGCGGGAGGGAGAGGGAAGATGTGATGGAGGGATCGTGGAGGGCGACGAGGACGAGGCGGCCCCTGGGTCTTGCTCGGCCGCTCCCATGCCCCCCGGGGCACGCTCCACCGAGCCACGGCGCCGTCGAGAGACTGCTCGGGAGGGAGGAGGGCGACGACAGTTTCTCGCCACGACAGTTTTCCTCCTCCTCCTCCTCCTCCTCCTCCTCCTCCTCCTCCTCCTCCTCCTCCTCCTCCACGGCTCGGGAGGAAGGAGGGTGACGACGAGGAGCTGCACGGCAGTTTCACGCCACGACGACGTCGCCGTGGGCTTTTATGGCCAGGGCGTGGATGGTTCAGCCTCGAACGATCACGGCTCTTCGATGGCGCGTATCGTTGGGAAGTCCAGGGTTCCCTAGAGGCTGGCTTCCTTCCAAAACAGCCGAGCCCCTTCCGAGACCCTCCGGGAAGGGTTCCCGGAGGCTTTTCTGAGGGTCTTGGACGGGTTTCCGAAGGGTTTTCGTCGCTCGGGCGGGAACCAGTCCCTGGCGAACCCTGGGCTTTCTTCTAAGCGTACCGCTCAACGTCGGCCGCTTCTGAGCCACCCGCGTCGTTCCACCCTGCACGGCAGGAAGCGCACCGTGCAGGGAGGAAGGGACAGAGGACAGAGACACAACCTGATGAACCAGTGAAGAACTCACAACCCTTTGGGGGGAGACCTAAGTTAGGAGGGCCAGGCACATTAAAGGATACTGGGGTCTGTTCTGCAAATGTATCAGACCAAACCGCTCAGATGTACTAGCACTAGTGCGAAGACGGGGACCTCAGTGAGGCCGCGTCTTCATCGTGCTATTAGGGTTAGGGCTTGTTCTGTGCTCGATGAATATACGCAGAAACTGTCGGAGCTCCGCAGGGGGACTCCGCGCGGAGCTCCGCGCCGAGTCCCCCTGCGCTGGAGGCGCTGCCGAGGGGGTGGGGCCAGTGCCGATCCAGGCAATCCGCGCGGAGCCCCGACAGTTTAGGGCTCAGGCTTTGCTTCTTCCTCGGGCACGGCACGAAACCTGCCGCGCTGGGAAGGGCACCGGGCGCGCGCTACATGGATCATGTAGTAGGGGCACCGTGGATATGGTGCGCGGTCGCCAAATCCATGAATCGGGCAAAGTACCCCCGAGAAAAGGCGCCAGAGCCGTCTGATCTGGTGGCGGAGCGCGCCGAGTCTGCATGGAAACGGGACGCGTCGCTGACCCACGCGCCTTAAACCCATGTTTCCAGACCCGCGACCCTCGACGTCATGACTTTGCTCATCACGTCGACCCCCAGATGTCTCGACCAATTCCCCAAGACCTGTTTTTCATCCTGGCTGCTTTTTTGACGCTCCAGGGGCCCAGCAAAGGCCCCTGGAGGCCGGAGATGACGAAAAACCTCCAGTCGTGAATCTTTCACGCCTCGAGGGGGTCTGGGCTTGCGTCTCCTCGAGGGAAGGGGGAGGCCGAAAATAAAGGAAAACCTCCCGGCGTGATTCTTTCACGCCTCGAGGGGGTCTGGCCTTGCGTCTCCTCGAGGGAATGGGGAGAGAGCAGCGACGGAGCGCGGGAGGGTGGGGGCTGGGCGTGAATTGCGAGGGGCGAGAGAAAGGTGCATTTTTCGGGCCCGAGGGGACCCCTTGGGGGCCCTAAGAGCCCCCTTTCGGGGGCCCCAGATGGCCCCTTGTCTGCACCCCACCCCACTCTCATGTATCGCCCCCCATTGCGCGACACCCAAGGAGGAGGAGGAGGAGGAGGAGGAGGAGGAGGAGGAGGAGGAGGAGGAGGAGGAGGAGGATTTTTTTTGTTTGCATGCACCGCGATGCAGCCCACGTACACCTCACCAGGGTGGGCGAAGCCCTGGGGGGTATCTGACTGGTCCGTGCCCAGAAAAGAAGGACGGTACAGAGAGGTGCGTCCTGCACTGTGCAGACAAAGGCTCACACCTCACAGATGACAAAACGTAGTCAAGTCGACGGTTACCCCATTCTTTTTAGGATGGAGCCCCTTCTTCAACTTAATCCACGGGTTGCAATGTGTGGCCACCTTGTGTGGCTCACACTTCTTGTCGAGATTCCGAAGCTGGCCTCCCGACGTCATATAACCGCATTTGTGGCAAAAAACATAAAAAGGAGCCATCCGAGCAGTCGAGCAGCACACAGACATGACCAAACTCACGCAGCCTGGACGGAGATACCTTCAGCACAGCGTCACACCTCCCAAGCGGAGGCTCGACCGAAGGGCGACCTCGCTTGCCTCGCAAACAAGCTGCGCACTGCCAATAGCTGCCCACCCAGCTCCACTGATGGACCTTCTTGTCCACTCCCTGCGGGCGCTCAGCAGGGGGAGGGGGGACATACTGGGCATGAGGGCCCAAAGAGAGTCTAGGCCACAAAACGAGGAGCTTCGCTCCGAGGCGGCCCACGGCTCTGGCAACAGCAATATCGCGATCAAGACCCTCGAACACGGACCCCGACGGCATAGGATGCAAGAGTACCGCTGCCTTGGCCGTCTTATCGGCCCACTCGTTGCCTTGCCGCAAAAAACGATCGCGGTCGTCGGTGGCAGCCTGGACGTCTAAATGGGCTTTGACCTTCTCTAGCTGCACTTTCGACCAGTGATCTCGCAGATGCTGGGCCATGCCACTATACATGCGCTTGCAAGAAACCATCTCGGGCCAAGGCAAGCGTGAGAAGTCCACACAACCTTGGCAGTCCGAGTAAACGGTAGATGGGCCTGTCGCCCACTGCACAGCAACAGACATAACATAGGGGGCAACGCTAGCATACCAACACGGCTCCCCGTGCGCAAGCAAGAGAGCCGTCAAAGATCGGCCCTTGGCCGACGGCTGCAGAACCTTTCCAGCTTGGCGCCGATAGGTCAGCAGTTCGAAATCGCTGACACCGTGGACCTCGGATACTCCTCCCCTTGACTCTACGAGGCCGGCCAGCACAATCATCAACTCCTAGGTTTGGCGCCGAAGAAACCAGCGGCCCTGCCAGCCCTCCAAGCTTGGCAGCGAGCTCCCGTCCAAGCGCCTTGGAGGAGCAGATCAGCGACCGTTTCCCCACGCCAGACCAGGAGGAGGAGGAGGAGGAGGAGGAGGAGGAGGAGGAGGAGGAGGAGGAGGAGGAGGAAGGAGGAGGAGGAGGAAGGGAGGAGGAGGGAGAGGAGGGGTGAGAGGGGAGAGGAGGAGGAGGAGGAGGGGAGGAGAGAGGAGGAGGAGGAGGAGGAGGAGGAGCAGGAGGGCGCGGAGCCAGAGGGGGAGCGCGAGCAGGAGCAGCCCCGACGGACCCCCCCCCCTCCCCTCGCCGAGGGCTGCCGGCTGGCCCCCCGTCGGGGTGGCCGGCGGCGTGCCGCTGCCCAGGGGCAGGGGCGAGAGGGCGGGGCGGGGAGCAGCACGGAAGGCCCGTATCATGAGGACGCGCGATAATGATGCAAGGGTCTTGGGAGCCCATTTCGAAGCTTTTCGAGCGGGGCGCGGCCAACGAAAGTGGCCAATGATGGACCGAGGAGGCAAGGATGCAAAGGTACCCTTGGGAAGGTTGCCCATCCGTACCATGCGGGTCGACTGTAGAGCAGCGCTCGGGGCGGCGAGAGGTGCGGTCTGATGGAGGGCGCAGTGCCCAGAAAGCTTCCCTCTGGGCGGGACGAAAGGGCAGGGTATAGCAGAGGGTGTAGGGTTCAGTTGGACCTGGGCCAGAAGAACATCCTTGAAGAACATGGGACTCTCCGCCCGTCAACATGAAGAGTATTCGAGGGTACCCACACCCAGGATGCACAACAACATACCCTTCCCGAACCGACCTCGATTTTATCCCTCGGTCCGACTGTAGGGAATCAGCTCACGTAGCCGGCCAGCTTTCCTAGCGCCAGGAGGCGCCAGCGCAACAAAAGAGCAGCGCCTGGAGAGCCTGCAAGCGGGGATCGTAGAGGACGCTTGGGCGTCGCTCAGCATGGGGGGGGGCAATACATAGGGGAAACAAAGTGCATGTGTCATTTGTCGGACCCGAAGGGCCCCCTCTGGGGCCCGAGAAGGCCCCTCTAGAGGCCCTGAGGGGCCTCTGGTCTGCAGCCCTCGCTGCCCCGCCCATTTATCGCACCCCCATTACGCGACGCCCAAAGAGGAGGAGGAGGAGGAGGAGGAGGAGGAGGATGAGGAGGAGGAGGAGGACGGGACGGCCTGGCCGCACAACATCCAGCTTCATCATCGGCTAGCGCCTGGATGCCTCCTCATTGGCCCGTATGCGGGCTGCCAACTCTCGCAGACGATCCGAATCGACCAAACGCGAGGAGCCTGCAGCACGTGGTCCTAGAGGGGCAAGGAGCACCGTCTTGGGCGGTGCCCGCGCAGGTGCCATCACAGCGTCACCCTCAGGGTTCTTTCTGCAATGAGGGTGTAGGCCAGCACGGTGGCGAGCAAGCGCACCTGCCCCTGAGGTGCCCAGCTTCATGTCATAATCCTGGCCCAGCAAGTGACAGCGCCTGCTGGTGTAGGCACCACAGGCGTAACAAACAATCAGCGGCCTTTGAGGATTTTTCAACACAACAAATCCCAACCTATGGTGCCTCTCAGTCTCCGCGCCACGGAGGCGTCGGAGAGAAGTGGACACGCCAGCGCAACCATTATTGGTCGGGACTCGCCGTCGAACGAAATCATGAAACATCGCACACTTCGGAGGGCGCTCTGCTCGCTGTCCAGATCTTTCCAATCATGCCAGTCGGGGGGGAGCGGCACGCGGAGCAGGCGTCGAACCTTCGGGGCTCTCCCGGAGTCCAGTGTAGGGAACAACGGGAGGACGCGGGCAGACATCTTGGCACAGGAGCGAAGGACCTGCACCCGCTTATCCAGTTCAGCCAGATCAGCAGGTGCAAGCTGAGGGTGGAGCGAGAGGGCAAACTTAGTCAGGCGATCCGCGTCCTGGTTCGACAGAGCGATTCGCTTCTGAGCAGGTGGCAGCAGCAGCATCATATCGGCGGGCTTGGGTGTGATAGGCCTCTCCGAGGGCATCGTATCCAGCCGACTGCTGGGCCGCGAGGCGAAATCCCGCAAACATCTCCTTGTGATTAAGCTGGGCCACATCCGACAGGTCGTGCAGCCGCTCCGCGCCTTTAGAGTCACTGCAAGGGGTTGACATGCCGAAACTAAACGCACAGGCCACAGCAAGGCCCAGATATTCTGTAGCCTGGGGCGTTTGGTGCAGCACAGGCCACGCGGTGGCCACGAGGCGGGTCCGAACCTGGCACTCACCCCCAGGTTCCAAGAACAGCCCCGCAAAGGCAGCGCGGCTCAAATCTAGGATTGGACACTGCGTAGCAGAACCGTCGACCACCAGGTCGCAGCGCTCACTCCGCCCCACGGAATCTCCAAGTGACAATGGCTGCCCAATGGCATCTTACAAGAGGGCGCGCGCCGAGGGAGGGGGAAAGGACTCATCTGGCTGCGCCACCATCAGGCGAAACCAAACGTCATGCTCAGCAGGCGCGCTGTTCCTGGCAGCCTCAATCATGTCCGAGTCGAGGGCTTCGCTGCGCGCCTCAGCTACCTCGGGGCCCCCACAGAGCCACTGGCGGTGACATAGAGAGCCAGGGGCCCCGCACTTCGGACGCTTGCCACCCGAGGCGTACCCAGCCCCATGCAATCGGTCGGCCGCCCAGCACCCGCTGGAACAACAGGAGCAAATCCAATGTCTAACTCGCGGCGTGGTTCGCCTCGAACGGAGAATGGGGCCGGGGGGGGGGGCCCACGCACGCGCGCGCGCACCATCGAACGAGGGGAGACTCGAGGCTAGACGTCGTTAGTGAGATATCTGGGCTCCTCTGCAACAAACCAGCTACCATGGCAGGACTATTACGAAACAGCGAACATCATTACCTCGATCATCCCTCCAAGCGTTAAAACCAACAGACTGCCATCCAATGCACTCTCGGCTCCGAGGCATGCGATGGCCTGGCCCCCCGAGAGTGGCGCAGCGCCGACGCTTCGAGAGAGAGCTGCTGGCCCTCCAGGTTCCTCCAAAGCCTGATGCGGTCCCGAACTGAGAAGGGGCTGGCGCTCGGAGCGGCGATGCTTCTCCACAGACTGGCAGCCCATTGCCTCGCAGGAGCTGTCGCCTGTAACCAGTCAGGGTCGCCGTGCGCGCACGCCTCGGCAGCGAAGAAAGCGCCTCGGCGCGCGGGTGCAAAGCCCGCCAGCAGAACGCGGCGGAGCTCATTCAGTTTTTGGTCGGACATCCCCAGGGCCATGGGCCCGTGCCCATCAGCAGGCCTGACCCCGCAGATGTACGCGTCGTTCATGTCTAATCGTGACCATTCCTGACTGCGCTCGTTTCTAATTGTTCCTGGCCCCCTTGTGGCCAGGAAGAGGCCCATAATGGAACACATAGAAACGAAAGGATCTTGCCCCCCCCCCCCACAACCAAGGAATTTTCTAATAATTCCCTACCTAGGCTCTGCCTAGAAGGGTTCTTACTCTCTAGCTTAAAGGGGCCGGGCAGTGGAAAGCGCCCCGGGCGGTTCCCCCAGTCCCCTGGGAGCCAAGCAAAAGCAACAGCAAAGGTAAAAGCAAACGCGCGGTTCCCCCAGTTGCGCTCCCTGGGTGCCAAGCAAAAGCAAAAGCAAAGGCAAAAGTAAAGGCAAAAGTGAAGGCAAAAGCGAAGGCAAAGCAAAAGCATAGCATAGCATAGCATAGCATAGCGCAGCATAGCATAGCGCAGCATAGCATAGCGCAGCATAGCATAGCATAGCATAGCCTAGCCTAGCCTAGCCCAGCATAGCATTGCGCAGCATAGCGTAGCATAGCATAGCATAGCAGAGCATAGCAAAACATAGCATAGCGCAACCACCTGGGTAATCGTAGGCATCCATTTCTTCTGGAGCTTTGCGAACCTGTGAATGAGCCTCGCGGAGCCTGCCAGAGCCTCCTGCTGCCAGACACCCCAGGACTGCTGATGGATCTTCGCCCCCTTGTCATTGGCATCTGAGAGGTCCTCCTGAAGCATATCCAGAAAAAAAACAGCTCTACTTCGCCACTCCTGTATCTGGGGAAGGTAAGAACGCCACTCAGCCGCCAGGCCCCTTCATCTCTCTGAGAGACACATCCAACCTGATATTGAGCCCTTCCCCTGGACAGGAGTGTTGCAATGATACCTGCAGGATCCCAAGAAACGGACCAGCTCCAACTCAGCACAATCGACATATGTAGTCCAAGCTGCATTTACTAGCCCATGCCTGGTCAGCAGGACTATGCTGTGCCTGAGCTGCAACATGAGCAGCGAGATGCACAGCTCCTGCCCAGCAGCCTCTCTCAGGCTGTGGGCCGAACGGCAGCTCGAGGGGCAACTTCGGGTGGCTGCGATAGATAAGCTGCTTGATACTGAGCGCGTCGGGGCGAAACTGCAAAAAACTAGGCGGTGTGGCTTGATATCCCACTGCATGCCAACTTGCATTCCTGAAACAAACCTGGCCAGGCCAGTACCCGGCACGTATCCGACGTGGGGCTCCGACAAGCGGGCGCAGTGGGGGCCATGATGAGCATGCCTGGCTTACGAATGAACCCCGAAATGTCCAAGACCTCTGGAGACATATTCCAATCGCCCGCGATGACCGAGTGGGTAGGATCACTGACAGCCTTGCCGAATCGGGATAACAGAGGAGGAGGAGGAGGAGGAGGAGGCGGAGGCGGAGGAGGAGGAGGAGGAGGCGGGACAGGAAGGAAATGCAGGAGGAGGAGGCGGGGAAGGAGGAGGTGGTGGAGGAGGAGGTGGAGGAGGGAGAGGAACGAAGAGGAGGAGGAGGACGAGGAGGCGGAGGAGGAGGAGGAGGATGCGGGCCGAGGATCCAAGGGAAGCGAGGGTCGAACATCGAGCACGGAGGTCGAGGGCCGAGGCGGAGGGCACCACGGCACCGAGGCCGTGGCGCTGCCGTCCTCCCACGCGCCGTCGCCGCCGTCGCCCCCGTCCTCCCACGCCCCGAGGCTTCCCAGCGTCGCCATGCCCTGGGTGGTGGC